ATATATATATATATATATATTATAAACATGTTAACTTCTTTTTTCCCGTCCTCGACGGTAGTGGCGGATCTAAATATTTTCGGATTTATTGGGAAAAAAGCTAGAACTCGATATCTCTAAAATTAGAGTCGGATGGAGGAGAGGGGGCGGAAGTTTTAAGTTTTTGCCTTGCTTCAAAGAATGAGTTTCACTTTCTTATTCGGCAGCAGCTAGCTCCTGCGTATTATAATCATTTCTCGAAATGTTCCAACGTGGTTTCGATTTTTGCCATCCCTGCATAGATTTCCTCTTTCATAAGTGCTCTTTAAAGTTTTTTCTTTTTCTATGCAGACCGCTAGGTGCCCATCCGATGCGCTGATGAAAAAGTCTTATCGGTGCATGGCTTGTTCGTCAAGATGTATCACTATGCGTGTTGTGATATTTCAGTGTGGAGCACTCCAAAAGAAAAGATTTGTGCTATTTTGCGCGGCTTCAGAAAGAGGAGGAAGAATGGACGGTGGAAGATTTTCTCATGCTGCTCGCTCAACGAAGGTCGTCCACTTTGGTTCGTTCCATCGTCTTACTACTTTTTGCCCTCCATTATACATATTTTGTTTTGGATCTTCGAAAAATTTTGAATTTGTCAGAATCAGGCCAGAGTCTCCGAACTTTTTTTATTTCACAATAACTATCGCTGCGGTAGCGCATTTCTGACTTTGAAAGTCGAGACGTCCTCTCCTTCGTAGAATATGCCTTTTCGTACATGTTTGAAGACTTCTGGGAACAAAAGAATTATAAAAATGAATGCATCCTCCCCGCTTCTGAGAACACATGGCAGTCCCCGTTTCATTTTAATCTATCATCAAAATTTACGTAGCAGTGCATTTTGAATGCATTCGCGTGTAGGTTACTTGATAATCAGAATTGCTGACGATCCAGACCAATATAGGATGAGTTACTACATCTTCATCCATAAGGCTTTTTTGTTTAGTCTGCTTGTTATTTCAGGCGAAGCTAGCGCTGGAGATACTCGATGGTGCGTCGGTAGCTATAAAAGACATTAAAAGAAGGGCCGAAATTGCTAGCGCTAAAGAAGCTGCCAACAAGAAGCAGAAGAGAGCGCGCAAAAGGAAGTAGGCATTGCTGCTGCTCATTGAAAATTCAGGTTCTGCTTTGCAAGTCCTAAAATCTAGAGATCTACGACTCCATTTTGAGATGCGTATTGTAATATGAAATGACTGTACCGTGCCCATCTACTTGTATGATGTTTTTTTTTACTGATATGCATTTATACATATTTAACAATCGAATCGCCATACATTCCGATGCTGAAGATTGGCAATGCATTAAGGCCTGTTGCTTCTCCGAATTTTCTTCCTGCTCCTGTGAAACTTATTCGTTTGGCACACCCTCATAATACTGTTTCCCTCACAAAGGAAATTTTGCTCGTTTATATTAAGCCATAAGCTTTCTTATTGATTACTCACCATGCTGTATGTGTATTTTATGATAAATTGTACAGCACATCGAGTGTCATCCTGCACCTACCCGGCTATGCAGCACTACGCGTGCGGAGGAAAATACGGGGTTTGATAGTCCAAACACTCTTCTGACTCTGTAATAACCGGTCAACAATTAGATGTATGGTCAGAGTTTAGCTGGAGAGCAGGGCTGAGTGGGAAGGTTACAAGCTAAGAAGATTATTGGTGTAATGGCTGCAGATTCTCTGATGAAAAGCTGTAATAAAATCCTATTTCGCACTTATTTCCAATGGTAACAATCACTTCCCGAACCATATGCTATTGCCTCTGGATTTGGACCGCACTAGCTCCTCGCTGGGCGCTGTTAATTTAGAAAAGCTAGTAAATCAGCTGTTATTTGGAAAGCCTCTGAGCGTAGATACTCCAAACTGGCAAAATTTATTACTGTTATGTACAGTGTGCGCGAGAATTGATGTCCCACATCTTACAAAACTTAACTCTTCTCGCTACCGTTCGCTTTGGTGAGAATTGTACGCATGTCCACCAGCGCATTCTCCAGTTCCTCAGCGTACCTGAAATCACGGATTGCGCTGAAGATTCAGCCTCTACTGTGGCGTGTTTAAGAATATGACACACCGAAACGTCTTCGCAAGAAATTGGTATTAATTTACTTAAAATCCATCTACTTACTGATGACTGACGTGTAAATTCACCCCTCACCCAGTAAACTTCCAAGAATCAGTTGCAAAGGCTACTGCTTTAATGCGCTTTTTATATTTTTGCATATCTAAAAATGCATATTGCCTATTAAGAGCCTGCAGCCAGTGACCATG